GTGTGTGTGTGTGTGTGTGTGTGTGGTATCTGGAAGGATGTATAACAAACAAACAATTGAGATTCAAGATAGAAAATAAGAGGAAGGGTTTTCACTGCAAGTTTTTAATATTGTTTTCATGTTTAACCATACGATTACATACCTGTTCAGAATAGTAAAAAAAGAAAGAAAGAAGTTCAGAATCTGTTCCATGTCAGCCAAAACCGCGGTGATGATGGAAAAAGTAGGTGCTGCGTGAGGCAGACTAAAAAAATGGGGGTGTTTCCCTTCGGAAGGACAAAGTGGATGCTGCATAAGATCTAAAGTCTATGGCCCTGGCTGGTTTGGTGGATAGAGCATCGGCCTGTGGACTGAAGGGTCTCAGGTTCAATTCTGGTCTAGGTCACATGCTGGGTTGTGGGCTCGATCCCCAGAAGGGGGCGTGCAGGAGGCAACCAATCAATGATCATCATTGATGTTTCTATCTCTCTCTCCCTCTCCCTTCCTCTCTGAAATTAATAAAAATATATTTTAAAAAATAATAAAGTCTATGAAATTATGAACCCAGGTGAGCCCGAATAAGTGGAATCCCTTCCTCACAAAAGACATATGCGAAGATGTTTCATGCTCAATAAAACAACAATATTTATTTCATTTTTAAATAACAAATAACTCAACCATATACAGAACTTATAATTTATAACAACAAACTTCCTTAACACCTGTAATGCTCCTAGAAGGGGAAGACAGGGAACATGGGTGGACAGAAAGGAATGAGAAGAATGGAGCGCTGCGGATCTGGACATGGGCACCTGGAGTGGGGCCAACAGGTGGCTGGGCGCCCCGGGAGGGCCCAGGAGAAGCGTCCATTGCTGTGACCTCTGGTTTGAGGACGAGCCTCAGGTTCCCTCGGGGAAGCAGATGCCCCGGGGACCCTGGCAGCGCCTCCTGAATGCGCCTGCGGCTCTACCACGAGGTGGGGCAAGCGCAGACATGGCACAGCAGCTGCTCTGAACAGACAAATGGTCAGTGAGCCAGCAGCTCTCCAATGAAGCCGCATAAACCAACAGTGACGGTGAAAACAGGGAGCGGAGGAGGGCCTTCCTCCCACCTGTGCAGGGACTGGTTCTCGGCGCAGGGGGACGGCAGAGCTCGGATGTCCGTTCCTCTTACATCCAGTGGTTGTTCCAGAGGAAGCGCAGCAGCGCGTGACCTCCCGCATGGAAAACCACGACAAAGTGCGCCAGTGCCTCTCTGCCTTCCCGCTGAGCGTTCTGTTCAAAAAGAGAGAGAGGGTTTGTTTGTTGTTTGTCTTAAGGCAATAGAATAACCCGAAGTGGGAAATTCAGGATTATATTAATTCAATCAATACCAAAAGCACGCTTCTGGGGCTGCTTTATGATGTAGACGAGCTGGAGGAGACTATCTTGGGGGTGAGTGATGCGCTCCCCTGCACCTGTTCTCCCACCTTAATCCCCAGCAAATGGGGGCCCTCTTTTCAGGGCTGATGCCGCTCCTCTGGCTTCCCAGAGCACTTTCTCCTCCTCTCAGAGAAGCAAGGAAGCTTAGTTGGGGTTGGAAGAACTGATGGGACTCAGATGGGTGTAAACCCCTAACACTCCTCATCCCCTTCCTTGCTTTATTTTCCTCCAAAATATTTATGACCGTCTGATAAGCTATGTACTTTATTTATTTATTCCTTGTCTCCCTTGAGAATATAAGCTCCCTGATCTCAGGGAGTGTGTCTGTCTTGGTCACGGCCCTGTCTGCAGTCCGGGAACAGCCCGACACACCAGGTACTCAGTACCTGTTAGCCGACTGAATGAATGAATGATAAATTATTAGCGGCAGGTTAAGGACTTTAGACGTCGTCCTGTCAGTAACAGGAAACCACTAAAGGATTTTTCTCTTTTATAATTTATATCCGTTAGGAAGATGAATGGATTTCCTTCCAGCAAGGCAGACAAGAAAATGGGCGCTGAGCCAGATGCTGGGATAGGTGACCAGATCTCTCTGAACCTCAGCTGCTTCTCTTGAAACACCTGTACCACGAATGGATAGGGTTCCTGTGAGAATTAAATGAAAGGAAAAGCTGTTTTCCCTCTGCCCTCTGAGTGTGTTTTCAAAGAGCACCTGGAAGAAATCCTATATAATAAACCCTAATATGCAAATTGACTGAACGCAGAACGACTGGTCACTATGACGTGCACTGACCACCAGGGGGCAGACGCTCAAAGCAGGAGCTGCACCCTGGTCTTCAGTGCGCTTCCACAGGAGAAGCACCGCTCAGCCAGAAGCCAGCCTCTCCAGCCTCCACAGCAGCGCTAAGGATGCCTCGGGGGATGTCCAACTGCTGGCCCAGCAGTCGGACATCCCCGGAGGGGTCCCAGACTGCGAGAGGGTGCAGGCCGGGCTGAGGGACACTCCCCCCACCCCCAGTGCATGAATGTCGTGCCCAGGGCCTCTAATAAACGTTAGTTTCCCTCCCCACTTTTTAACAAACTAAGAAGTTCCCTATGCATTACTGTATCAGTAAGGGTCCCAGAGAAAACAGGTGGCACACTCAAATTAGGAAAATTGAGGGTGGTTTGCATAAGGAGACGATCTACACAGTGGGTAGGGGCCACAGGGGGTGGTACAGTACCGAGGGCTGGTAACCACAGAGTTGGTGCCACTCCTAGGCCTATAGGGACACGGAGGGTGCAGTTTCTAGAACCCAGAAGAAAAGAGTCCTTCCTGTAGAGAAACATTTAAGATCCTAAAAGTGATGGGAAGACTATTATAAAACATACTTTATATCTAGGAAAACGATATGCCCTGGATTAAAAAAAAAAAAAGACCAGTTCCTGGAATCAAAACCCTATATAACTCAATAGCAAAACATGTCATTTTGAGCACCAGGCCTATTTGAAAATACAGAATGCTCACTTCGTGAAAAGAACAAGACAGCAGATGTGTGGCAGTTCAAGGGCAGTCGGTTCAGCAGACAAAGCATGGCCTGCTGAGCTCCTTGCTCGCGTTCAGGAGGCAGAGTGAAAGTTTCTTTAAATATATCAAAAGCAGGAAGGGACCTGGCGAGTCAGTGTGACCACTTGATGGAACTGAGTACAAAAGGTGGGTAAACAATGACTATACATAAAGGAAATGAACCGTGCGGGGTTTGAAATTCTGTTGAAGTTGCTGGATTTAAGCCTGGAAGCAGCAGAGTAAAGCCTTTGGCATTTTAGAACCAAACTTAGAAGACATTTCTAAAATTATTTTAAAATTATGATGTGGTCTATTAAGAGTGTTCTAAAATGCAATTCTGTGGTAGAGAACAAGCGATCTTTAAAAGTCTAGGTCAGCCCTAGCTGGCTTGGCTCAATAGATAGAGCATCAGCCTGCGGACTGAAGGGTCCCAGGTTCGATTCCGGCCAAGGGCACATGCCTGGGTTGCAGGCTTGATCCCCAGTTGGGGGCGTGCAGGAGGCAGCCGATCAATGATTCTCTCTCATTGACATTTCTCTCTCTCTTCTTCTCCCTTCCTCTCTAAAATCAATAAAGAAATATGTTTTTAAAAAAAAAAAGTCTAGGTCAAAGCCCGCTTTGTAAATTCCTGCAAGGAAAGCGAGGGCAGGCAGAAGGGTAGACATGTAGATCGATGGAAGAGAACTGAGAGTCCAGAGATAAACCCCCATTTACAGGCCATTGATTTCCCATGAGGGCCGGGGGAAGAACAGTCTTTTCAACAACCGGTGCTGGGAAGGCTGGGTGCCCATTCCTGCAAGGAAAGCGAGGGCAGGCAGAAGGGTAGAAGGGTAGACATGTAGATCGGTGGAAGAGAACTGAGAGTCCAGAGATAAAACCCCCATTTACAGGCCATTGATTTCCCATGAATGCCGGGGGAAGAACAGTCTTTTCAACAACTGGTGCTGGGAAGACTGGGTGCCAGCATGCAAAGATTGAGGATGGACTTTTAACTCACACCATATGCAAAAGTTAACTCCTACTAGATCAGAGACCGAAATTTAAGAGCTAAAACTAAAAATCTCTCAGAAGAAAATATGGGTGTAAATCTTCATGACTTAGGATTAGGCAATGATTTCTCAGACAGGGTGCCAAAAGCACTAGAAACGAAAGAAAAATGAACTTCCTCAAATCAAAAAACTTTTGTTTTTCAAAGAATACCACCTAGGTAGTGAAAAGACAGCCTACAGACTACGAGAAAACATTTGCAAATAGTATTTCTTATAAGGAATTTACATCTAGAATATATACTAGTAAAGAACTCCTACAATTCAATAATAAGAGACAAATAACCCAATTTTTTAAATGGGCAAAGGATCTGAATAAACATTTCTCGAAAGAGATACACAAATGACCATTACGCGCTTGAAAAGATACACAGCATTAGCCATCAGGGAAATGCAAATCAACACCAGAGTGAGATAACTCCTCAAGCCCACTGGGCTGGCTATAAACAAAAAGACAGTAAAGCCCTAACCGGTTTGGCTCAGTGGATAGAGCGTCGGCCTGCGGACTGAAAGGTCCCAGGTTCGATTCCGGTCAAGGGCATGTACCTTGGTTGCAGGCACATCCCCAGTAGGAGCTGTGCAGGAGGCAGCTGATCGATGTTTCTAACTCCCTATCCCTCTCCCTTCCTCTCTGTAAAAAATCAATAAAATGTATTTTAAAAAAAGACAGTTAATAACAAATGTTGAGGAGGGATGAGGAGAGACTGGAACCTATGCGCTGCTGGTGGGAATGGAAAGTAGGTCAGTCACTTTGGGAAACAGTCTGGATGTTCCTCCAACCGTTAAACATAGAATTCTCATCGAGCACAGCAATTCCACGCCTAGGAATGTACCCAAAAGAACTGAAAACATATTCTACACAAAAACACGTACCCACGAGTTCACAGCATCATTCTTCATAATAACCCCAAAGCAGAAACAACCTAAATATCCATCCCCGGGTGACTAACTAAACACAATGTGACCTATACAGACAATGGAATATTATTCAGCAATAAAAAGAAATGAAGGACTGACAGGTGCTACACATAAAACAAAGAAAACCTGGGGCCGTTCTGTGTTGATTTATGTGGCTGCAGAAGCAAATTTAAGGCTTATAAGCAAATTACAAAAGGTAAAGAAAAGGAGGCAACGTGGAAAAGGAGGGTTACATGTGTCCTACCCTGGTCTCGCCTACTCAGAGAAAAATATTAGCAGGACCCATGAGTATTCAAAATTAGCTGATCAAGAAGCAGGAAAGTTGAACTAAGGAATTTCCAGAAGGAAAAGTGAAAATGTTCCTACAGAAGAAACTAGCCTAGAAGGGAGAAGACAAATAGCCTGGGTGCGCTGTAAGAAAAGACACACGGTAAAGAGATATTCAACTCCAAATCCTGGAAGGGCAAAGACAAAAAGCAAGTTAATTTTTCGGTTTAGATGACATCAATTGGTCATTTTCTGTGGGCCAGGCTCTGTTCTAAGTGACTTACATAGATTCTCTCATTTAATTTTCACAACAGCCGTATGAGGTAGGTGCTGTCGTGACCTCCTGGTTACAGAGGAGACCCAGGGAGGGTAAGTAACTTGCCCCCTGTCGCACAGTGAACAGTGGTGAGCCAGACTTTGGACCCAGTACTGGGACCCTAAAGCCAGCACTTAACCCCTTAGACCACAGTTGACGATTTGGTGAGCAGGGAGTCCATGTGAGTATCTCTTCTATGTACATTAAGCCTCCGGTGTGGTACTGGGACACGGTTGTCCAGTGAGGCCAGAGAGTGAGGCTGTGGGGTGAGGTCTTCCCTGAAAGGGGTGCTACACAGAAAATGGGTGGAGGTCGGAAGACACTCCCCCCCGCCCTCTGCGCTTCAGGCTCTTGGGTCCAGATGTAAAAAAGAGGTGACTCCTAGGAGAAAAGGGGGGCAAATAGTGGAGACAGTATTGGGGTGGTGCATGTGTTTTGGAACCAGCAGACGTGGTTCAGGTCCTAATTCTGAGACTTACCAGCTGTGTAACCTAGGAGAAGTCACTTAACTTCTGGTCACCAAGTTCCTCATTTGAAATGTGAAAATAGTAATGATCTCAGCTTCGTTGGTGGTTGTAAGAATGAAATAAAACAATACAGCCCTGGCCAGTGTGGCTCAGTTGGTTGAGCATTTTCTCATGCACCCAAAGGTCGTGGGTTCAATTTCCACACAGGACACATGCCTGGATTACGGGCTGGATCCCCAGTCAGGGCTCGGTGGGAGGCAGCCAATCGATGTTTCTCTCTCTCTCTCTCTCTCTCTCCCCCCCTCCCTTCCTCTTTCTCAAAATCAATAAGAACACATTTAATAAATAAATAAAACAATGCAAGTGAAACTGTTAGCATGGTCCCTGGCAAACAGCAAGTCCTCAATAAGCATCAGTTACTATTACATAGCTTTAGTTTATCCTCCAAATAGAGTTGAGCTGGGAGCGAGGTCAGTATTGATCCCGTGAGCCCAGGGAGAAAGCAGCACTTTATAATCCAAATTCTTATCTCGAGCTTCAGTGTCTCCTCTAACTCCAGACCTGTTCTTACAACTCCTGTGCAACTTTACAACGTCTCAATCTGCATGTCTAATAGAACGTCAGACTCACGTGCCCCAAATCGAGCTCTGTATTTCCCCCAAAACCTGCTCTTCGGTTTCCTCCATCTCAGTAAAGGGCGCTACCACCCACCCATCCAGAGGCTCGGGCCAAAACCACTGAAGTATGTGTTCCTTTCCTCTCCCTCGGCACATCCCGCTCATCGGCCAATCCTGCAGGCTCTACTTCTAAACGCACCCTGAGTCTGACCGATCATTTCTTACCACCTCCACTGCTGCACGCTGGCCCAGCCTGTGGGGTCTCCTCTGCCGCTCTGGCCCCGGATACAGCGCACTCTGCACGGAGGCCAAGCCCCAGACCTCACTCACTCCAGCCCTTCTGGCCTCCTTACTGTTCCTTGGGCCTGTTCCTGTCCCAAGGGCTGTGCGCTCGCTGTTCCCTCTGCCTGGAACACTCCCCCCACGTAGTCCCGTGCCTCATCCCTCACTTCCAGTCTCTGCTCAAACATCACCTCCCCAGA